AAAAAACGAAATTGTGAATGAAAAAAAAATGAAAAATAAAATAAGAGTTATCCACGATGGCCGAATGAAAACGATATTTTGTAGGAAAACAAAATATGGATTTTTTTTCTCAATTGATAATGAAAAACTTATTAGTTACAAATGTTACGAAGGTTGAGAAGGTGAACAAATCAAAGGCGTTCATTCTCAAGACCCAACAGCTGTGAATGAGAAAAACAGCTCAATTAGAAAAAAAAATATTTCAAAGGAATCTATCAGTTAGAAAATTGGTGACGAGAAAAAACTAATTAATCGAAGGGAAACGACGGTGTCTGAAGCAGGCAAATCACGGTAGGATGCATTTTTAAGTGGTGTCGTGGAATGGTACTCTATCTTCTTATTCTCTCGTGTTTAGAATTCTCTAGAATCTTGTTTCATTCATAAGAATGCTTTGTTAACGGCATGAGTTCCTAGCCACTCCTCATGCTACTTGGAAATGCATCCTGCTTGGACATGCATCATTCTCTAATTGAATCACTGCCTGAATGATTACTTGATTAAATTGCTACCACCTTTTAATATTTGCAGCTGGCAAAGTTTTTCCATCATCAAGTAAACTATCTTGATCCAATTTTTCGGGACTATTCATTACATATGTATTTTTGTATGTAAATACATAATGATAAACACAGTTTTCCATTGTTGTTGGTTAATTTCTTTAGCTGGAAAATCACATGGCGGGATCCAGTTTTCCCTCATTATTTAACCTATTTGTTTTAATTGTCTTCAGCAGAAAATTTATAAAGGTCGCAAAGATATTATTTTCTTACAAAATATTCTTAAACTTAAAAGATAATTATCAGTAATTATAGCTCAGTGCTTATAGGACTCATTGTGAAGAATTGGTGTTCGATCCCCAAGGGCGGCTTGGAGCCCATCCAGCTTCTCTGAGTAGTAAAGGTAGCCTGTGCACAATGCTAACCCGTTACCACAGCCATGTTTAAGTGTCACAAAATTGTGGAGCCCTAACCTCCGTGACCCCCTTGGCCCACAACAGTCAGGGCAAGAATGCTTCATTTCTTTTCTTTTTTTTATCTGTAATATTAGTTTTTCTTATTCTTTGCTATTATTACGGATTTGATTTTGGTTGTTTTCTAAATAAGAGTTTAAAACTAAAAGAGTTATTTCTTTAACGTAATTCTATGATATCCTATTACTCTTCATTTTAAGAGAAATCTGATTAAAGTAGTGCTTAAACTTATTAACCGTTTTGCATACATTATTTTTTGGCTCAAATTATATCAATATACTGTTATAAATTGCAGTTCAAAAGATCCATCAGATTATTAAGAACTTGACGATCAGTTTCCTTCACAATGTGATGCATGCACAAATTGTATTTAATATATTACCCTGTTAGGTAAGACCTGTTAGGATTATATTTCGGTAGTTAACCAATCGAATTTGTTACAACAATATGCCTTTAGTTATAAATGTTATTTTTAAAACAAGTGTTACTAAGTAAAATTTTTTATATTCACTAAAAGTTTTTAGTAAAATCACAAGGAAAAATGTGCGGAAGTTGGAAAAAGGAAGCACAAAATTTAAGTAAAGACTTTGTGTTTAATATATGTATTAAGTGAATAATTTCGATTTTCTTACAAAAAACTGTTTGTACCGCGAAACAATTATTGAGAAGCAATCATTGAGGTTGATGAGCGGCAGCGAGGGGACTTAGCTCTCGAGTATCATTAAATTAATAAAAAATTTAATTAAACGAAATTTCAAAAAATAATTAAAGTTACTAATGCTATACAATGGGAGAATTAAGACAAGTTATTTGTGTAAGTTTGCTTAACTGAAGAGCGGAAAGAATGAAGTTTCTAACTGACATCTAATTTGAGTAAATTAGCTCTTAAAATGTATGCATTGATAACGGGAATTGATTATTATATCCTACTTTTATATCTCATGTAGAAGCTTTCTAGTTCCTAGAAATATTTAAAATATTGTATCGCAGTATTTACAAACTTGGCATTATAGTTTGCCGTCGTTCGACATATAAATGTTGCATAAATGGATTTAGAATCTTCTTTCTCTCCAAATTCACTGAAAGATTGTCATTTTGTATTTTCCAACCCCTGATCTCTGAGTGAAATTCAAAAATTAACAAAATAAAATGAATAAGAAGATTAAATACGACAGATTAAATAGAATAGAAATAGAATATTGTAGAAACTAACATTAGAATTAAGTAAGAACTTAAATAGAGCTAAAATAAGATCTTTCCACTAGAAAACTTTGTGAATTTTCTAGTTGAAACTTACTCGTCTAAGCTCCCAATTGTATAAAATCACTATCTTGGAAAACAAGAAGCAGTCTTAAAAGAAACTGAACTTCATCAAAATACACGAAGAACAATTAAAAAGAAACGGTGTTAAATGGTTGCTAAATGGGACAAGATTGCGAACGCCATAGTTTAAACAAAGTTGTGTGAAGAAAAATGACAATCGAAACTGGAATAATCACCGTCATTGAATTCATTTCTTTTTCAAAAGATTATCCCTCGCAACAGAATGTAATTGTTTCTGGAATGCAGGTGAAGTTTGGAAATACTTTTACCCGGTTTACCTCTTCCTTCTTTTACATAATTGCAATTCTTGAATAGTTTTCTCTTTGGGGAAAAACTTTACCTTTTTATTCAGGGTTACTTTTTTTATTGCTTTTACATTCAGTGAAAGAGGGTATCTAAAGAATAATTTGAATCTGGATATTCAGAGTACATCTTTCAGAATCAGAACAACTGGGATATAAATTATTTTTGCAACTGGCAATTAGTTTTATGTACGACACAAAGGCGTTTTTTGCACTCTTCAATAGTTGCTGATAACTTGAATAATTAAGACGAACAAATCAATGTTTGCAGTTAGCGGCAGAAAATTTATTCAAATGTTTTGGCCGAAACAAGCAAATTGACTACGTGACTTTCTTATCACGTTTTTTTTTATAAACCTACAATGAAACTGTAAAGGAGATGAAGGTGGCCTTTGAAGTTATAAAATAACTGTTTTTTGTAGCTTTGGAACTTTTTTACCAAAAAGAGACAGTGGTCGTTCGGAAAAAAAGCATTGGTAAAAATTCATTTTATTGGAAATTGAGATTAATAGAAATCTGTGTTTCAAAATTATAACTAAAATTGGATTTTACAATCATTGGTAATTAAATAGTTCCTTTTGTATGAGTTTTTTGGTATAACTTTTTTATAAATACTTTGCTTATGGGTATCTAAATAACTTTAACCGTAACCGTCTATGTTCAAAACGTAAATAGCGGTTAAATTTTTATTTTTCACCAAAAATTTCCTCAAAAAACACGCTGTAGTTACATTTGTTCAAAAATTAAGAAAGTAAATCAAGATATTGGCCTAATCAAATACACTTAATATGCACGCAAAAATATTTTGCTATTTAAAAAATTTCAAACCACATTAGAAGTTCGACAATCTAAACATTTAAGAATATTAGAAAAGAAGGAATTAAGAATATAAGAAAATAAATATATCGCTAAATATTGATGAATCTCACTGCTTAGGTGCTTGTTTAGAGAGAAAATATTTTAATGCGAACTGTAAATAAAGTGAAACTTGATAATTTGACATATGACGTTAACAAGGTTTCCAATTTAGGAAAATTCATATCAACTTATCGAGATGGCATATTTTATCTTAACTTTCAAAAGTGTTTCAGTACTTACCATTTGACTGTAAAGTATTTAAATAAATTTCGTTGCAGGGATTTTCACCTTCGTAAAACTAATTTTATTTATTAGCATATTAATTTTTAAATAATATTTAATTGATTTTTCTTTTATTATTGCAAAACTATTACACATTAAATGAGGCCAGTAAATTAAAGGATATTGTTCAAAATCTATTAAAGGATCCTAAACAAACGCAATATTTTTTATTTTATTTTGGCGAAAAAATAAAAGTATAGTAAGAGCTACACTTATATTAAATTGCATGATTCATAATTTTAAAAATTATTTTTACATACAATTTTACATATAATCGTTATATATATTTCTCTTATGCGGTACTTTATACTCGGATACATCTCTATCTATTGGCAGCGCTATAGTTATAATTTATTTTGCTGGGCTTTTTAAGTAATAATTAAATTTTGTGTTAAAAATTAACTATACGTTGAGTATTTGTTTAGTTTCACTTTGTTAGGTTGCCTTAACTGATAATTTGAGTAAGGCTATATATATNATATATATATATATATACAGAACGTAATCTAATCTCACGACATGGGGGGAAATAATTTTAATACTTCTGCTGCTTACTGTGTTGAAATGTCCCGAACTCTTACTTATTATTATTCCTACTTTGGTTTGTATGATTTAATGGTACCTATTTTAAATTAATCTAAAATTAAATACATAAGGAACTTGGATAATATTGTGGACATCGCTTGAAATTAATTTTAATTTAAATTTAAAAAAAGTATGTCTGCGAGTGCAAAGTCACTGGTAACAGCTAGACGGTAAAAAAATTTGGTCAATATATGGTTTAAAATAGATTAAGATGTTAGGATTGGATAAGGGGTTGAAGAATTAGAATATTTCAATACAATTGTGCCGTGTAATTCGACTTGATTACCATTAAACTTTATACGTTGGAAAAGAAATTTTGAAAGGTGGACGAACTGGTTGTCAAATGCGTATGTTGTATTATAAAAAAAAGGAATTCCATGAAGTGATTAACCTTTACAAGACGGTAATCTGTACAGAGTCTTTGGTAATCCCAGAGAAGATTTGAACGTTTGGAATATCATAGCAAAAGCACATATTTGTTTCCTTCAAAGTGTTGTATAATTAATAGAGTTTAAAAATAGTGTTGGATACCTATTTTAGCAAAACTATCGAATAAAAGCAAAAAAGCAAAAATAAGATGGAGAGAAATTCCTACACACTCTCAATAATTTACAAAAAAACAATAAAAAATAAATAGCACGTACAAATATAATGCTGTTTATTTGCAGTATCTGGCATCTATTCTGACGAAATCATTGGTACTGTTACAGCTGCAAATCCACATAAAGGCCTGGGTAAAACTGAGAAAACACTCCAAGTGCGATTTTCATATATCAAGATGTCATCGTATAAAATCTTTCCTTCAGAACTCAGTCCACCAATCACGAACAACGAATTTCCTGAAAATACACAATGCAAGCATTTTATTATCATCTAGCAGCTGATTGATCGTAAAGGTAAGGTACCCAGTAGGGCACCGAAGTCAAGCATCACAAGCGGTCAGTAAGTGGGTAAGTGACAACTTTGATCATCCTGAGTAGTGACCGAGGGCACACGGTATCGGTCCTAGTTAAATTGTTCTACAGTAAAGTGCTCGACTTCCCACTCCGGTCTTTTGGCCACCAAAATGGGGTTGCCATCCCCACCGCAGAGGATCAAATTGCGATGGTATGTCTTCGGATCATCTTCAGGGTTGTTTACGGGACAGTCACCATTAATCTATTGTACTGTTCTAGTACAGATGTAAATAAAGTACCTACCTACCTAAATACAATGATTTCAAAATACATCAATTGTCTGGTATTTATAATGTTGACTACCTGACGGAAAATTATATATTTTGCTTTCTTTTCTAATAATCTCCAATCTATTTATTCTTAAGGTTTATTTCACTTTTAAATAATGTCAGGTACGTATGTTGAATTACATATCTATAATAATAAATGAAAAAGTTTTTGCCAGTGTGTCCATTTGTGTGTATCTCTTGAACTCAAGAACCATTTGCAATAAGATCCTAAAATTAGGCAGTTAAGAGGCAGTTTAAGCCACAGTTACTAAAAATCGTTTAAAAATTTCTATGAGTTCGTTCGGAAGAGATGTTTGACAAATGAATTTTTCTCTTAGGATTTATCACTAAGCATTGTTATAAATTAAACTGCAGGCATGCGGTTATTTTTATTTCTCATGTACTTAGAAGATAACATTAGGGATTGCTTTCTGATAGCTCTATTTAATCAGAAACGAGTTTCACGGAGAATTATTTATGAGTGTTCTTTATTAGTTGTTTACCTTAAGCGATTATCTTAGGTGAGCACAGACAGAATCGAAGTGGAGTGACGTCCCTTAATTAGTACTTAGCAAGTGGTTGCTTTATTAGTGATTGCGTTCTTACAGCTCTATTTAATCAGAAACTATTTATGAGTGTTCTTTATTAGTTGTTTACCTTAAGCGATTATCTTAGGTGAGCACAGACAAAATCAAAGTAGAGTGACGTCCCTTAATTAGTACTTAGCAAACTATCTAAAACTATGCGTTAAATTTGTTAACGGTTACGTTTTTAAAACGTGCTTCTATAAATCTATGTACTGCTAATTATTAATATTATAATTAGCAGTTTTTTAACAGTATTAAGTTAAAAAAGTGGGTAATGAACAGTGCACAAAAGAGACTACCCTGAATAATTTCGATCTAAGGATCGGATCTTCACATTCCAGGACTCAATCTTACTGGTTCGAGGGGGTAACCTCAAATATGTTAATTAATAAGTACAACAACATAGAAGTACAAAAAAACGGGTATTCAGTGAGTAATTAATAGGTTTTAATGAAATAAAGTTAAGGAGACATATTTTTGCTATCTAAATATTTAAAATATTATATTAGATCCATGAAGAGATGAAAAATTCCAATAGTTAATACTCTATCATAGTATATGACGATCCAATAAATTAAATTTACGAAGCAGTAACTTACCAATTGTCATAGCAGACATAAAATGTCGAGGCCAGGGCAAAAAAGTTAATTCCTTCCATTTTTCTGTACTTTCATCATAATACAGGACATCTTCAATACTTTTCTCCTTACCAGCGTCTTTTTCATCTTCAATTGCGCCTCCAATTACACAAATCATCCCTTCATATTCAACAGCTGCAGAAAATACCCGTGCCCGTGAGTGAGGTAAACGTCGAACATTTGAGTGCCATCTGTAATGGATTAGAGCCTTATGAAACATTTAAGTTTTCTCAAGAATCCCACAATTGCTTTCCAGCTACAAATAGTTCTACTATTTTACTATTAAAAATTTTAAATTACGAATTAAAAAGAATTTAATGAAAATCAAACATTAAATATATGTGTTTGGCATCATCAGCAAATGCCCGTATTCGTGAACGGTGTTAAACGTCTAACATTTGAGTGCCATCTGTAGAAAATTAGCGTCTTATGAAATAACAAATACTATAAAGCTTTCACGAGGACTCTTGCACACTAAATGTCTATGGTGGTCTGTTACTATGGAAACAAGAGTAAAACCATTTCTATGAAGGGAAAATTAAGAAAATGGTATGACTCTCTTAACAATGAGTAACGCTCAATTTATCTTCATCACCACAGCAACAGCCGTCACGAGAAGCTATTATCTGGAGGGAGTACTCGTGAAAGCTGGACAGTTGCAAACGAAGAAGAATGTACAGATTAAAACGCGCACTAGATCTCGGTGACGCAATATTGTAAAGGATATGTATATTAGGCTCACATTTCTTTAGTGTTTTGTTTCTAGTTGACATAATTAAAGAACTTGGTGCAAAATATTGATAAGAAGCATTTCAAAATACTTTAGGCTAAAAATTTTTGAGAAGCACTTTGATTTACATGCAAGCACCCAGATTTTTATCTAAGCTGTGGTTCCAACATTAATAAACTCCGGAAAACTGCGAAGTACTAATCTGGAAATAGCATTAAAAGTCAATTTGATATTAAAGTTCCACTAATTAAAAAAACATGGCGTATCATTATAAAGCTCCAAGCAATCTAAATCTTTATATAGTTTTTCTTCTTTGCTTTATTTGAGAAATTATTTTACAAAATACGAACAAGTTTATGAACATACATGGCTTGCTACAAAATACTTATCAATTTTTTTTTTTAGAAAAATAAATTATGGGGAACGAAATGGAATTCCAAACTTTCTGTTCTAACATTTAATATCCATGACTACAATAAATAAGTAATCATTCTTAGATATTATATGCTGGAACATGATATCTAAGATTTATAAGATTAATTTCATCCAGAAAAGACTTATTCATTAAATGTATATCACTTTCAAATGTAAAATCTTACTCTTTTTTTTGTGGATCGTAACACTTTACTTTTCGGCTCGTTTTTAGTTCGCCGTCATTCCCCGGCACCATTCCTCCAATCATCCATAGTTCTCCATTGTGGCTGCATAATGCCATTCCAAGCACACCTTTGTCTAGAGATTCAATCTGCAATTCCCAGGCATTGGAATTCGGGTCATATACTTCAATTGAAGACAGCACTCTGCAGAGAGTAAATAATATGGGAGTTTATAATTTTTCAAGCTATTCATTTTGTGGACAAGTAAAGGATTTATATATTCTAAAAGTGCATTTTAAATTAAAGTAACTGAGAAGGAACATTTTTTAAAAACAGGCTTGCATGAAGTTAAATACAATCATGAAAAATGTGACCCAAATGGTTTAATTCATCGAAGGTAGGGGGGGTGAATATTTAGTCCTTTTCATAGTGCATGTACCTTTATTTTGAAATTTTTGCTTGACAAGAATTTTTCGCATAACAATAAAGCTCATTTGCTGATAAGCAAATGTTTAAGGGGTTCTAAATGCCCTACAGTGCAATTTTTAAAAAAAGAAACTAAAAATAATATTATTCATGACATAAAGTTTATTTGAGCATAACAATGTGATCAAATATTTGTAATATCGAATATTTGTCCATGTAACGAATGTGATCGAATATTTGATCCTTAATGATATGTATAATATTTTTTAACAAGTTTGCACACAAACAATCATTTAAACGCTTAATTTTAATAATGGTTTAATTCTACTCTTGTTTATTTTGAGATACAGGTCCTTGAAATCTATTGAGAGTATGTATTTTTTCCATATCCTGTATGATTTGTGGTGTAAACTATTGGATAATAAACTATTCTTAAGAATACGGCTGTCCTCAAACGTTTGAGATTAAAGAAAAAGTTTGAGATTAATGAAAAAAAATGGATTTTAACATGAAACCAAATTTTTTAGCGCATAATTTCATACCTGTGATTTTTTAAGAGCAGTAACATCTTTTAAATTATCGTAATTTAGTATATATAACTGCAAAAATTACGTTTTATCAAATTTTTTATCACGTAAAATTTTACTGTAAAAAATACTGATCGCCTGAGTTTTTTTTCTTGTAATTTGATCCGCAATTTTTTGCAGTGTACCCCTGATTTCACATTGTTTAAATAGAAACTAGTATCAGCTATTGATAGAAGCTCATTTCTATGATGTCACTAATCTCATGCACTTTACATTGATTTGGTTGAATTTTATCGGCCATAAAGAATCAAATACAAATATTTACGAAAGAAAGAGCAAGAATCTCCTAATGAAACACGATTTTGATTAAAAAGAACTGTAAATCAGCTAAAATCGCTAATCATATTTTTAAATAATTAAAAAAAAATACAGAATCAAATGCTTAAGATTAATGAAAATGTATCATAAATGTAGCAATGAAAATGTTGTGTTATGCCGATAATAAACATTTGGAAAAAAATCTTCTGAATTGTCTGATTACAAATTTTTAACAATTTTGAATTGACAAAAACTGACTCTCAAATTGCTCAAATCTTCATTGCTCAAATTTTTGAATTCCGTTATAAATAGTTCTGGAGCTATAGATAGGTAAATGAGGATTAAGTTAGATAAATGAACAAATACGGATAGATGAACACAGACACAAAAAAATGAACACAGATTGTTTCGTTCATTATTATATATAATTAATTGTAGAAATTTAATTTGGATGGATAATGTTCATTACAAAGTATTTAATTTTTCAAAATATGAATTCTTAGAAAACAACTTTAATCGTCATTTTTTTTCTTTGTGAAAATATATACTATATACGTATTAAAAACAAAAAGAAATCTAAAATTTTTAATCTAATAACAAAGCTCTTGCTTCGTCTTTCAGTAATGAACTTCAGTAACTTTTCTTATTTATGTAAATTATCAGTTTGCGACATATAGTGTAATTCCTATGATTTCATTTTTAAGCAAGAATCATTTAAAAAAATAAGGAAATCTTTACGGTGCTATTAAAACATAAAAAAAGAAGAAGAAAAATCCAATAAAAAGAACAATATTCTGTTTCCATAATATTTTTTAAACGTAATTTTATATAAATCATCACTCTATACGTAAATTTCTTCTAACAACATTATATTAAAGGCAAATTATTAATATATTTCATTCATGAATACCTCACAAAAAATATATGAGCCGGATATATATAGCCAGATATATATATACATATTTTTTTGCTATAAATCCCATTCTTGCCAGAACGTTACGATATTGGTTTCGCCACTCTCACTTCGAGGAACCTTTAGACCGTTAGAAGTTTTATTTTTGGCCATCTTTCTTTTATTTAGGATAAAATGTGTTGTATGGAGACGATGAAGAAAGAAGGACGTACTGTGAGATATTTACGCAGTTAAGGAATTATTTCTTTGCAGATCTTAAGAACAACGAAAAGCAGGAAACTGGCGAAATATCTGTCACGTATTTCGGCATTAGTTATCTCAATTAAATTCAGAATAAAATACCGATGCTTTCCTTTAGGTAAGTAATCAGGGGTGGCATAATTTTATATAAATCATATAAAAATATACAGCTGTAAAGGAAATTACTTTGGTAAATACATAGAAGAATGCATTAAAGTAAAACAGAATTATCAAATTTTAATATAATTTCATTCCGGGCAGGGCTAGAATTTGAGATACAAAAACGAGGGAGTTAATCTTCGACTAGATTTTTATTTATATCTAGATATTATGATTCTATGCTTATTAGTAGCGTGAGAGATTATCAGACTCTCGCAACGAAAATAGGAAAAGAACACGTCAAATGAAAAAAATATATACTTAAAAGGGTTTTAAACACAAGAAGAATTTAAAATATTAAAAGTTATTAAAAAGATTAATTAAAACTCAGGAATAGATAAATTAACAATGAAATGATCTAATCTCGTTTATCCCAGATCGTTGTATCTGCAAAAAATAAGTGCTTTCTGCAGTTAAGATTTCATGGATTCCCTTAAAATACAAAATAAAACAATTTAGAAAACGAACCTAAGTAAAACCTATAATTAACTGCAAACATTCGAATTTTACTGGGAAGTGATAGCCTTGTCAGTGTTTGAATGTATTTTTCTAAACCTTTTTTGGGGGACAGTAAAATTGCAGACAGTGTAATAACTTGAAATTCCCTCACAACCGCGCTCACTTAGGATAATAACATAATGAAAATAAGAAACAAGAAAAATGATATCAAGGTATAAGTATCAAACTTGGACCCTAAGTAGGGGTCTATGGTCCAAACATGGCTGCCAGAGGAAAATTTTATAGAACAATTAGGGGGGTCTCAGTGGGCCCATAGAGGTATATTGCGAAAATGAGCGGAGAGAGCTTTTGAAGCGAAACTAGGGTAGGCTTCACGTATCACCGTGGAAGGATGGTAGGACACCGGACAAGCAAGTTCGCTGCTGGAGGGAGGGGTCGTGGGTTCGAATCCCAGGGACGGGCGACGAAAACAAAAAATAAAGGAAACCATAAAAATTATTTAATAGAATTTGTTTCATAAAATGCAGCAAATTATAGCATCTTTTCTAAAGCACACAATAATATACTAAAAAATTAGAGCTTTCTAATGATGTTGTATTAATANTTAAGAAAAACAATCCATTTCGGACAAATCCGTGGCTAACATTATTTTTTTCAAAATATGCAATTTATGTTTCTCTTTTCTACTTTATATTTTTTCTTAAATAAATATTTATTTTCTAATATTATTTATGGTCAACTATTTAAATTATCCAGTATAATATTACTTTGCGCACATCCATTTCGGGCCCATCCTTGGTAACTAACAAATCAATGCACAGCATAGCAAATCACTTCAGCAATGCAGTAAGAACGGCACTTTAAAATCCTCTAGTTGCACTCAATTCGCGCTTTTGTTTTCATATTTTGTAATCTGGCAATCTTGTTGCGAAAATATTTTTAAATCATTCTTGAAAAATTTCCCGTTCATGTAAGTACATCTGATTTCGCTACTCACTTTATAGTTTTTGTTTTGTTTTTTACTGTTTTTTCTTTTTATTTTATTTTCTGTTTTTACGTGTTATTTTTACTTATTGTGTTCTATTTTATTTGTTGTAATTTTTGTAAAAGAATTTTTTGAGAGCTCCTCACACTATTGTATTAATATATTTTGCTTTGGCTATATTGATACAATATCAGAAAGCACTCTTTTTTGCAAGTATAATCGTGTGGGCTGATGAAAAGATTATATCTTTTATTTTCCGTTTTTTTAAAAAAATTTCATACTTTTTTTTTAATCAGTTGTTTGTTATTTTTTTCATTATTATTCCCCTCCCCCCTTTCGCATATGTCTTTAATTTTCCTTTGTTTTATCTTCATTTTGACTTTGTTATTATTGCTGACTTTTTTTCGTATTCATTTAATTTATCTAAGTCAATGTAACTCTCATCCATAAATTTTACACCATTCATTAAACTAATTAAAAGCAAATATTTCAAACAATAATAGTTCCATAGCATTTCATTAATGGCTGGCAAATCAAAAAAAGAAATTCAAATTCTCTTTGACTAGAAATTAAAATAAGAAAATGAATTATTGAAAAAATAAATATTTAGGGAAAAAATTCATTATTTTGTCAAAAAATTTTCAAGTATCATTAAATATTAAAAAATAAGTTTAAATACATTTATTTTAAAGTGAATAAAAAATAGTATGCTAATGTATTCAATTAGCGTCAAAATCTAATTATCACCAGAATGGAATAAATTTATTCAGGTGACTCTTCACTCCTCGAAATTATTCCTGATTCTTTTCATAGAAAGGGCATTTTTTAATATTCTTTTTCTGGAAAAACTCGTACGATTTCTGGAAATCATTTTATAATGGAAAAAAATCAAGAAAAAAATCATAAGGGGTGAAGTACTCAAAGAACATTCTTTTTTCTGAGAAATGTTTTGTGATAGATCATTATTTTACATTTCTTCTCTTTTGCTAGAAGTATCAAAAAGTAATACAAATCTACTGAAGTATTTGTTTTCGCAAAAGTTTGTTATAAAATTATTTTCAATACAATACTTTTAATTTATATTGCATTTATAAAATATTTTTATTCAAAGATTGCATTTCTAATTTTCCTTAAGCCTTAAGGCCGAAGATTTAATTGCATCAATTTGGAGTGATAA